GACGGTGGGAGGCGGAGCTGCCGAGTGCATCCCTGCGCCAGGCCCTGGCGAAGGGCCGAGGGCTGCCTGTTCCCGGACGCTTGTGAGCACCCGGGGCCCGGGCTGGGGAGGAGGGTCGGTCCCGGGGAAGGCGAGGCCTGCCGCGGCGGGGGCGGCTGGGATCGCAGAGACTGGCCGCCTTCCTGGGAAGCTGACCTCACCTTCTTGTGACCTTGCAGGACCCACATTTGGGACCGCCGCAGCCCGCGCCAATCGCAGACTCTGCTCCACGTGGCAGGAGAGTCGCTGAGTGGCCAAGATCATGGCGCTGACCCTGCTGGAGGATTGGTGCCGGGGTATGGAATTGGACATCCACAGGTCCCTGTTGGTCACAGGCATCCCAGAGGACTGTGACCAAGCAGAAATTGAGGAGACCTTGAATGGGATCCTCTCCCCGCTGGGCCCGTACCGCGTGCTCAACAAGATTTTTGTGCGGGAAGATAATGCCAAAACTGCCCTCGTTGTGTTTGGTGAGGGTGTGAATTTGAGCACCATACCCCGGGAATTCCCAGGGAGGGGCGGTGTCTGGAGGGTGATCTGCAGAGACCCCACCCAGGATGCTGAGTTTTTAAAAAACCTGAATGAATTCCTGGACGCTGAGGGGCGCACCTGGGAGGATGTGGTCCGCCTGCTCCAGCTCAACCAACCCCCACGGTCCCTGAACCAGAATCAACCCCCAGGGAACTGGACACAAACTTTCGGAATGCTCCTGGGGACCATGGTGCAAATCATCTTATACATGGATTCCCAGTTCCGGAAACGTGAGGAAGCTAGGGCTCGGGAGGCCGCTGAGTTTGAGGAGGTGACCTGGGCTCTAGCAGCAGGGAAGAAGGTCAAGAAAGAGCCGGGGCTTGCTGCACGGGCAGGCTCTGCCTTTAAGGCGGAGAACCCCAACAACTGGAATGAAGTCCGAGGGTACCCTCCCAAACCTTTTGCTCGCAGGGCTGGAGCTAAGTCTCGCTCCAGGAGAAAGAAGCAGAAGAAAAACTCTAGGCAGGAACCTGTGTCCTGGAAAAAACCCAAAGGCAACCATTCCAACAGCTCAGCCTCCTTGGAGGATCCTGAGGCTGGTGATGCCGAAAGGATGGATATCTCAGAATCTGTCAAGAGTAACAAAAAGCCCTGTGTGAAGCAGGAGGGGTTGGCTTTGAAGAAGCCCGTGGTGAAATGTACCTGGAAGGCCCCCAGAGACCCACCTCAGCATGCCCCAGCAGAAGCTGAGCGCCCTGGAGGTGTCTTTGAGTCAGACCAAGAGGGTAGTCAGGAGAGGCCCCCAAAGAAGAAGGCCTTGGGTTGGGCCTCAGCAAAGAATCCTGCCCCCATGAGGAAGAAGAAGAAGGTGAGCCTGGGCTCCATCTCTTATGTCGTTGTCGACTCCGAAGATGCCAAGAAGAAACCTGCGATTCCAAAGAAAGGGCCAGGCTCGAGAAGAGAGGCGTCCATTCAGAAAGCCCCTCGAGGCCTGCAGCCCTCTGAGTCTCCAGCCTCAACCTCAAGGGGTCCGAAGGCCAAGCCAGAAGGCTCTCCTCGTGATGCTGCCAGTGGTGAGAATGACAAGTGATTGGGATTGTGTCAACAAGTGGATGGGGCAGGAGAGGTAGGTGGGGGCGGAGGAGCCCAAAGAGGTGGCAGATCCAGGGGGTGATGGGGACCCCAGTGCATTACAAGAGGTGGGTGACATACCAGTTGAGGTTTTAGTGGGTGAGAGCCTGGACTGCCCTCCTTGGCGCCCTTGGAGGCCAGCGCTGGAGACACATGGTGGGCAAGAGGTGGCAAAGCAAACCCACCGACCCATCTTTTATTGATGAGTGTCACTGTGGTCATTGTACCATCCAGCTGAGCATCTCTCTCAATCAGAATGGAAGGGTCTGGGGTTAGGATGTTTGTCAAGTGTGTGGCTTAAAGGATGACGTTTTCTCGAGGTCTGGTTAGGGGGCAGAAATGTTCAAGGACTTAGAAGGTGCTCGAAAGGGAAACATTTCCTAACAACGCCTCTCTCTGCTTCTTCTCTTGAGCTGTTCTGATTTATCCACAGAATCCAGAAAGCTTTGATTTGGGAGACCACCTGTACCAGAGTTGAAAGAAGACTGAGGAAATTCCAAGTCAGGAGCAACGTCATCTCTCGTTACTGAATGAAACAGGAATTTTGACTCTTTTAGGGCCCAGTTTGTAGAGATTTGGCTCTCGGAGGTAATGATAGGTGGGGGTGGGGGAGAGGCAGGTGTGTCTCTACCCTTTTCTCTACCAGGCCTGCTTTGTCAACATCCTCCTCAGCTGGTGTTCGGAGGCGGGAGAGTTGGTAAGTAGATTGGGAAAATTCTAGAACCTTTATTCCCCTTTATGCATGGACAGGGCCACTGTTACACTCATCTGTGTTCAGCCCTTCTTCCTCACCCCTGCTTCCTCGTGGGAGGGGTCAGCGGCCCTTTTGTTTTGAAAAGCCGAGTGGCCATTTTCTCCCTTCTGGCCTCTCTCTGCTGTGACCAGCGGGACTGGTTAAGCCAAACAGGGTCTCTGATGCAGACCTGGCATTCTTGCTTTTTCCATCTTCAGCTTCCACTCTCCAGCTATCAAGCTGGAAGATCCCAAGAGTTCGTTTTAGGGAAGAACAATGTCTGCCTAAGCCTTGAAGTTTCTGAGTTTTGGGGTCTGTTAATAAAAATGGCACTTTGATCCCTATCTGGGGTGACCCCGCTCGGGAGCCTGTGGGGAGGAGGGGTGGCTGGTAGGACAGGTCTCAGGTGTTCCTAGGTTCCCAGCTTTGATTCCACACCATCTTTGCAGCTGAAGACCACTTCTCACATTATAGTAAGATGGAAAAAAAAATCTTTAAAACTGGCTCTTAATTTCTGCCCTCTGAATTTAGACACGCTGTCAGACCAGACCACCATGTCTCAGTGTGTGTGCATGTGTAGAGGAGGGTGGGGGAGCCCCGAGATAGTGGTGTTCTGGGGAGTCCCCAGGCTTCCGCAGAGATGTAATCCAAATCTGTTTTTCCTGTGTGTTTTTTTAAAACTGTGAAAATGACTATTCAGAGATGTTGTAAACCAAACCAGTTGCATTGAAGACTATCAGAATATTACCTTGTGTCCGTAGATCAACTTGTTTTTGCACAGGCTTGAGTGAATCGTTTCTGCCACCTCTTTGCTTATAACCGAATTTCTTATAAATGTGAGTTTGACAAGGAAGGTCAGAAGTGGAGGAAATTCAGTCCTGTGCATGTCCTATATAACCAAAAGCAAGTTTCCTTTTGTAATTCACAAGCTCTCGTTCTGCTGTGATTCTTCAGTTGTGTGGTAGCAAGTAAACGTCAACTTGATACACAGTAGTAATAGTCTATCATAGAGTTTCAGCCCTGGTATGTTTTCAGGGCCTTTCTTCTGACTTCAGTTTTTGTGGTGCAGAATGTGAACAGTTGTTAGATGTTGTCAGTGATTCAACTTTAAAACAAATTTCTTGTGATGATTCATTTCAAAATCCTGGGTGAGCCTAACTGAAAATGCAGGAAAGAAGAGAAGGGTTTCCATTTGCGGCTGCTCGTCTGTGTACATCAAGGTTTTCCTTGGACGTGTGCAGAACAAAACCCAGGAGTGAGTGGGACTCTCTAGGTAATGAAAGCCTGCAAGTTTCCAGCTTCTCATTTCAAAATCTGGTCCACTAGGGCTTCATTGTGTTAACAGATTGACATCATGATTAGTCAATGTGAATGTATATGTGTATAATAAAGTTTAGCAAATTAAGTGTCCTGCTTAGTCTCTTTTATAGGCGGAGATTGCGTGGATGAGTTAATTTGAGAAAAGAATTCCCCTGCTAAATAATACACACCCCTAAGTCCCCCAGCCAGACGTGACAGGTTGTCAGACCCGGGTTTGAGCTGCAAGGATTATTAATCTTCCATGGGAGAAGCAGCTGTTTTTCCTCTTCGTTATGGCTTTCTACCAATGTGAAAGGATCTCCCACAGATGTTAGGGTTTCTAGAAGTGTCTGGAGTAGGTAACTGGTGATGTGAATTATCTGAAAGTGCTGGTTTATTTTTATAAGCAGTGGAAAGATGAAGCTCCTTCGCTCTCCTCCCATCCCCTCAGATAGAAGCTGAGGTATTTAAGCTTCAAATTTAGTTTTCTTCTGCTCCCCTCCTCCAGAAACTTCTGAACCAGGATGGCCACTACATCAGTTACTTGGAACCTTTGTTTAAAATGCCTTTCCAAAAAATGAAAAAAATAAAAAGCCTTTCCAACCAGGTGCAGTGGCCCACACCCGTAATCCCAGCACTTTGGGAGGTAGAGGCAAGAGGATTGTTTGAACCCAGGAGTTTGAGACCAGTCTGGGCAACATAGCAAGACCTTATCTCTAAAAAAAAGAAGAAGAAATTAGCTGAGTATGGTGGCACTCGCCTGTAGTTCCAGTTGCTGGAGAGGCTGAGGTGGGAGGATTGCTCAGGCCCAGGAGTTTGAGGTTACAACGAGCCATGATCCTACCACTGCACTCTAGTCTGTGTGACAAAGCGAGATCCCAATTCTAAATAAATAAATAGATTTTTTTTTTAAAGCAAGGCATGTCTGTAATCCCAGCACTGTGGAAGATGGAGGTGAGAGGATTGCCTGAGCCCACAGGTTTAAGACCAGCCTGGGCAACATGGTGAGACCTCATAGGATTGCCTGAGCCCACAGGTTTGAGACCAGCCTGGGCAACATGGCGAGACCTCATCTCTACAACAAATGAAAAAATTAGCTGGGTGTGGTGGTGCATGCTGTAGTTCCAGCTACTTGGATAACTGTAGAGGATCACGTGAGCCCAGCATGCCACCACACTCCAGTCTGGGTGACAGAGTGAGATTCTGACTCAAAAAAATGAATAAAAATAATAAAATGCTGTTTCGTGGCCTCGTCTGCTGAATCAGGCTCTCTTGGACGTTATACCTGAGAATCCGTGTCTTAAGCAATTTCTCCTGAGAATTTTAATACAGACATGGGTTGGAGAGCTGTAGATGGAAAATTGGGGAAAAGGGAAATATCCTTAGAGGTCAAGGTTGGGGTTTTGTAAAAGGTGAATGGAGATCGTCAGGGAGGGGAGATTAAAAGAGACCAAGAGGGAAGCTGGGATTCAAGAACAGTGAGCTAATTAAGAACTGGAGTGGGCTCACAAGAATCCAGGTAAAAGTCTAGTCATAAGGTCCTCCCTGCCCCGGCCTGTACAATGGAGAAAGCCCTATTTGGCTAAGACCTTTAAGTACCTTCCATGGTGATAGGGTCTCTCTCTAGTTATACCCGGGCCATCAGTGAAGTCGGAAAGGCCCATGTGGTTTGAAGGGGGAATCCAGGGATGGGACATGCACGTTGGCTTTTTTCAAGGAAGCCTCTTTTCAATGACCTCTTGGGCGGAGGCAGCGTTCTGTTCAGGGCTGTGCTGGAACAGGGCTGGGCATAGGCTCCCGCAGGGAGAGATACCACCAGCAGGACCTGAAGGTAAGTTTCCTGGTCCATCCATGCTGTCATTATGCCACGTTCATCTATTTTTTAATTTTTTGGAGTTGGAGTCTCACTCTGTTGCCTAGGCTAGAGTGCAGTGGCATGTTCACAGCCACCACAGCCTCAACCTACTGGGCTCTGGTGATCCTTCCACCTCAGCCTTCCAAGTGGCTGGAACTACAGGTGTGCACTACCATGCCTGGCTAATTTTTTGATTTATTGTAGAGACGAAGTCTCACCAACTTGCTCAAGGGTCTCGAGCCCCTGAGCTCAGGCAATCACCTCACCTCGGCCTCCCAAAGTGCTGGGATTTCAGACTTGAGCCACCATGCCCAGCCCACCATATTTATTGAGCAACTACTATATCACAGCCAGGAACAAGACAAAGATTCTCAGTTTCCTGGAGCTTGACATTCTGGTGAGGAGACAAACCTTGCCCAGATACAGGTAGAGGGTGGTGAAAAGTAAAGCAGGAGAGGGGTGAGGGGAGTGAGAGAGCGAGCTGGCTGTTTCCTGCAGTGGTGATGGTGGTAGCGGCTTTCTGGGGAGACTCCGAACAGACCTGAAGCGGGGAGGGGGGTGAGACAAACAGCTGGTGGACACAGCCTCCCAGGCAGAGGGAAGAGTTAGCGTGGAGGGAGACAGACGCAAGGAGGCTGGTGTGACTGGGGCAGAGCAGGAGATGAGGCCAGGGAGCCTTGGGAGCCTTGGAGGCTGAGGGCGCGGGGCTTCATGGGCATGGTAAGGATGGATTCTGGCTTTTTTATTTTGGTACAGTAATATTTTATAATAGACCGAAGCTGAGAATACTACATGCTAGCACAGGCAAGGTGATACACAACCTCTGGGGGAGTAGTCAGCAGGGAAAGCGTGGCAGAGGCCACAGGTTTAGGCTAAGAGCCTTTCTATGGACTGCTGGATGGACTGGATCTGCTGCTTCAGCTGTGAGCCTTCTTTGATGGTGACAGAACAGGCGATGGCAAGCCTGGAGACCCCACAGGTCCGCCCCAGGGCCTGCTCAGAGTGCGCAAACATGCAGGGCACATTCTTGTTTTCACACAGCAGCGGGAGGGACAGGATGATCTCCAGCGGCTCGGGGTCTGCAGCCATCACCATAAACTCAGAGATGCCCCTGTTGAGGGTTTTGGTGGCCTCACTGGCTCCTTTCTGAAGCTGCCTGTAGTTACATGACTGCTGAATGAGGTCCAGTAGCTTCTTGATGAGGTGGGCAAGGGGACAGGCCTTCGGATTACATCAGCCTCAGTCATGGCTCCACAGGGAATGCAGCAAACGTCAGAGTAACAGTGCTTGCCTCTGCCAGAAAGCCCAACAGTAGGGCAGATTCTGGCTTCAATGTGAGTGTGAAAGGAGCCATAGGAGGGTGCTGAGCAGGAGGTCATAATTAGGCTCTCTCAGGCGGCCTGCTGGCGGGGGACAGACTGATAGAGTGGGAAGTTAGTCTAGGAAATCTTTAGGGGTGCACAACTACACATCCAAGCAAGTGGCCTAGTTATAGGAAACTCCACGCCTATTTACCTATCAGGTTCTTACCAGACACATGTGCAGCACTGCAGTCTGTCTACCTGGGATGCTTGCAGTCTGTTGAGAGCGGACCACCAAGGCAGAAACTAGCTTAGAGACCCCTGGTGCCTGCACAACCATAGTCTAGGTTGACCTAAGAGAACCATGAACCTTCACTGTAATACTATTCTCGTAAAATTACCCTAGGGGAGTCTCCCACACCCATCATAGGCATGACACCATGACAATACCAGTGTGACCCTATAAGGCCTGACATTCCCCTGCCCAACATGACAGAGGAGTAACAGCTCCAGCCCTAAGACCACCTGCTTCTAGCAAGAGTGCACCCCTAAACTCGCTCCTCCATACCCCTGAGAATAAAAGTTTTAGCTCATTAATAGTTGGGTGCAGAAGCAGCAACTTTCTGTAGGCTGTTTCTGCCTGCTCTTCTCTCTTGGGAGTGTACTTTTTTTTGCTTAATAAAGCTACTTTCTTATGCTGCTTCTCTGTCTGTTTGTAAATTCCTTCAAAACATGCACTCAAGAACCCACCACTGACCCGTCTCACACCGGGAGGAGCACCCCCTCTGCTGGTAATGAGAATGAGAAGGGTGAGACGGAGGCTGGGAGCCCAGTGGGGGGTGATGGTGGCTGGACCAGGGAGGCCATGGAGGCTCTAAAAAAAGCTGCCCATTATGAGCTCTGAGGAGCAGATAGGTCAAGAAGAAAGATATGGAGCATACTGATTTATTTTTTCACTTATTTTTTTTTAACATTTTCATTTTCAGGTAAAATAAACTTAGGATGAAGTGCACAAATCTCACGTGAATTACTTGATGAGTTTTGACATATGCAGAGGTACTTGTGTAACCCACCCCTCTAACAGGATACTGTCATCCTGGAAAGGTCCCTTGTGCCCCTTCCTGGTGAGTTCCTGCGCCCTAGGATTAAATGGAATCTTACAGTGTACAATTTTTTGTATGTCTGTCTTCTTTCTTTCAGCATAATGTTTTTGAATTATATGTATGCACATTCAGTTGTTTTTTGACTACTTGCCTCGGTAAAAAAGTAATACATCTATATCTTAAAAAATTATTAGTGGGTGGGCACAGTGGCTCACACCGGTAATCCCAGCACTGTGGGAGGCAGAGGCAGCCTGAGTCCAGGGGTTCGAGACCAGTCCGGGCAACTCGGCAAGACCTCGTCTCTACAATAAATCAAAAAGTTAGCCAGGTGCAGCAGCATGCGTGGTTCCAGCTACTTGGAAGACTGAGGCAGAAGAATCGCCTGAACCCAGCAGGTCGAGGCTGTGGTGACTGTAAGCATGCCACTGCACTCCAGCCTGGACAACAGAGTGAGAGACGCCAACTAAAAAAAAAGAAATTAGTGTAGTAGAAGCCTGTTGACTCTGCCCTCTCTGCATTCATTCCCTTTTCTTCTGGTAATTTCTCCACTTTCTTCAGGAGACAGGCACCTCCCGCCCCCACACCTCCTTTCGGACACCCTGGACTCCTCAGGCTCAGAGATGTCACGTGACGTGGGCCCAGCCAATCAGAGCGTTTCATCTGCCAAGCCATGGTGATTGGTCCAATGAGACTCCTGGGATTTTTATTGGACTTTTTGAGAATAAAATGCTCTCTTTCTTCCGGATTTCCTTCTAGTAGAATGTAAGCCTGATACTGTTGCAAAAACCTTGAGGCAGGAGTATTTCTGGTGTGTGGGAGCTTAGCTGGAGCAGAGTGAGAAGGAAGGA